TGTTTAGAGAAAATATAATATTTTCATAATTAGGACTTAATAGTGCAGCTTTATGAGATTGCTACCTACGAAACACCATCTGGAATTGGAATTCGGAGTGGCCCTGTCACGAGACTATAGGCAAGGTACTTTAGGTGCAGTTTGTAATCCTGAAATCTGGGAAGCTGACACAGGATGATTTCAAGTTTGAGGTCTGCCTGGACTACAACCTTGCCTCAACAAAAACTAACCAGACAAAAAGATCATTTTTGTTTGAACCATCTTCTGAGTCTTTACTCCATTTCCAAAGTTTCTTAGTTGAGCCCTGGAGGGAGATGACCACGTGAAGAGGAGTTTAAGACAAAGGTGTTTTCTCCCCTAACTGTCGCTAGTCTTCCTGGTCACTTCCTTCAGAGGTGGGAGTTCCCCTTTACAGCAGTCTTCACTGTGGAGTGTGTGTGTGTCGCCTATGGGTGTGTGCATGTATGCGTATACTCATCCATGTGTGCTTGCTCAATCATTTATCCACCTCATATTTTGAGACATGCTATCTCACTGAACCTGGAGCTAACCATTTTGGCTACACTAGCTAGGCAGCCCTGGGATGCACCTGTCTCTACTCCTCAGCCCTGGGATGCCGGTGGGTACCACTGTCAATCTACATGCGTGTTTGTGCAGAAGGCACTTTACCTACTGAGCCATCTCTGCCCTGGGATTCATTCTTAACGTCAATCATGATAGCACCTGTAACCAGTCAGGCAGTGATCGGTCTATAATCCTGGCAAAGATCTTATTATTAGGATCCATTTTCACAGTAACAAAATTATTATTTCTCTGTTTTTCAAATTTCAGAAGGGGATGTTACAGAAACAGAGGTGGTTTTATTCATAAGAAAAGGAGTTTCCTGAGAGACTTCCAAAACTGATTCAAATCTCCCACAAGACAATCCCATTATGTGTAGTGCCAATCACATCCTGTGGGAAGGGCTGAGGAAGGCTGTATTACTGCCCTGCTAGACTACTCAGGAAAATGACATGCACAGCAGAGAGCAAACCAGGTTTATTCTTCAAGCCCAGATCATTTCTACATTCTAGATATTTTTGAGATTGAAAGAGGTCAAATTGCTCCTGGATGTAGGGCACCCTGAAGAGTCATGTTTGGGAAGAAACACTACCTTCACTTGGTACGCTTGTGGGTCAGCAACCACTGTAGTCTAACAGTCTGTTGCAAGCTCCCTGACTGTTTCAGTTTGCCAGACCTGTCATGATAAATTAATTACAGGATGTTGCAGAAATGGCAAGGCTCCAGAAGCATCTTGCATGGTTTAATATAGACCCATTTCCCCATTTCAATGTATTTGTGGTTAGATAAATCCTCAGAAATTTACAGCTGCTATAGACTAGTGCATTATGTAGTCTGCCCGCACACATGATAAGTATAGTTAAGAATTTGATGTTCTTAACTGAGAGATTTGACTGACATTCCTTTACCACCATGAGGTACCTTGTTGCTGAAAAGTGCATTGCCATAGACCTCAGAATGTTAACTTCTGGGTAGCAGCCAGGCTGGCCAGAAGAATGGCTGCCTAGACACCGTACACTGACTACTACTTCAGAAAAAATATGTGAGGCATATATTTGTTCACATCCCTGTGAACAAATTTAGCTCACAAAAAAGCCAACTGATTCTTTGCTAAAAACACCAAAAACTGAACTGAATCTACCCAACTTTTCTCCAGGGAACCCTTCTTCCTTCGCTCTTCTTTTTTTTAAGCTTCAGTTGCTTTTTGGCTCTTTCAACAAGTTATCTTCCTAGATGTCTTGCTGTTTACCCTCCCTACTCTTATGCTCATTAAGCAAACCACCTCCACCCCAAGAACATCTAAGAGTCGCTCTTTGATTGGCAGTTGTTGTGAGCTTAAGTCTGTAAGAACTTTGCTCTACATTTTCTCCATTCTGGAGAAGAATCAGATGACAAGTTAGAGCACACCAACACCAGCTTGTTTGGAACTGGGAGAGCCTGATGTATGCTAGTAGTTAAGGCATTTTGACCTATGCAATGAGAGTTGGAAAAGGAATTATGAATTATGACATAAATGTCTCCTTTTTTAGATTGGAGAAATAAAATTGTAGGTCTTGTTAGTAGCCACCCCAACTTTTTAAGGCAAAACTAACCCATCCATAAACTGTGAACTATGCGTGTTAAAGAACAAGATTAGAAAAGGGAGGTGCTCATGGCCTACCCTTAGATGTGAAGGGCTCCAAAGATGGCATTCTTTGCGTTTACAAAACAAGTGTTTTTATTATGCTATCCAGTTCCCGCCTTAGCTTAAAGTATTCCCTATTCAGCTTAATTATTAGAGCGGAAGGGTATGATGAATGAAGTGCCTCATTACTGACTTTACTTCCTGGGTCTCTGCAGATAGGAGCTGTCTGCCTTTGCCTAGTTAGTCCATTGTCAACCCTAAGTGATGCTGACATTCAATTCTCCTGCAGATAATTGGATCCATCCATAGATCGAGTTCTTCAGTCAACACAATCTTGTGATTGACACTTTGCCTGATGATTTTATTATCTTTTATATGACCGAAAGGGAGCCTTTTCTGTTTCATGAATAAAATGTTACTGTATATGTAATTAGTTTGATTCTCCAGAACCTATTTCTTCAGGAGATGTTAAGAACTATAGGGTGGTAAAGCATTACTAAGAATAGTTATAGGACACACAATGACCAGTTTTAGAAACAATTTTTACTTAGGTATACACAAATGTCTAGACCTGGGCAGAATGTGGTTTTAGTCATTCCAACTTTAAAAACTGACTGGCTTTGTCCTGTATAGCACCAGAGGACCTGTCACGGAGTCTACTCCTTCCATTTATAGCCAGCATGGGTATTTATAAGCCGTGCACACGTGGGCAAACTACTTACCTTTCACAGCCTTGTGTTGCTTATTTGTAAAGTACACACGTTTTGTGTATCTCTAAGATTTGATGCAAACAGAAATGGAGACTATGCGTGATAGAGAATGAAGATCTTGAAAATATTTTCTGTACGTAAGTTCAATTTGGTAAAAACTGATACTAAAATATTGATTTAAAAGTGTTCCCACCATTTAATTAATTCACAGGGACCTCATGTGGAAATTAATTGAAAACATAAAAATATCATAACTTAATTTTTTTAAAAATCATTTTTATGTTGTTCTTACTTTCTTAAGAATACTTAACACATGTCAGAAGCAACATGTCATACTAAGCTATAACTTGGTGACTTCCAGATACACTTGTGCCCAAATTCCTAAAGAGAAAATGTCATCAAGAATAAAATTTTACAATAGAGTCAAGAACATGTTTTTATGTGCCAGAAAGCATGTACAGACTTTCATATTTAGCAAGTGTTAGCTCTTTAAAATATTAATTTCAGTTAAAACATAAATTTTATGCCAAAACTTTGCATTTTTGTTGTAAATATTTCATGATAGAAATCTTTTAAAAGACTGATATTTTGGGTGGCCTGGGAGATGTCTTGAAGACTTGCCATGCAAACATGAAGACTAGAGTTTAGATTTCCAGCACCTATGTAAATGCCACTGGGTGAGCGTACCAGCTTGTATACAGGTGCACGCTATACATGAAAGCACATATGTACACATGCCTACAATGCACCTATGGAAAAATATATTATTAAAGTTTTACAAATCTTACTTACAGTATAGTTTTGATACTGCAGACATCATGATACAAAGATAGTGCCAAACAGTTGGTCTGATCAGTGTAACATCCAATACTTTCATAATTATGATGAAAACAAATAATTGCATTCCTGCTGTCTTCAGCAGGTGCAATGTAAAATAATCATTCTGCCTTTCAGATGAGCACAAAGCTCACAGCAAATGCTCAGCGCCTCCAATATGTCTTCTCATTAGTCTTGACTTGAAGTAGTTCTACATCTTGTTGAGAAGCTTTCTGCTGAATCTAAGGCCAAAATCACAGAACTAACAAGCATCTGAAATCCCTGAGCTGACCCATATGAATACTGGATGATCAAAGGGGGTTACCTGTAATTATAGTCTCAAGGGGCAGAGGTGGGGTATCCTAATTGGTGAGCTCTGCTCTGGGTTTACTGAGAGACTCTGCCTCAAGGAGTCATGGGGAGAAAGATAGAGGAAGATTCCTGACATCAACCCAGGGCCTCCACACTCAGACACAAATGCTGCAAGCCCACATACATGCACACCCACACCCACATACACACACCCCCACCCACACCCACACACACATCCCCCCACATGCACACACACACACATGCCCCCCCACACCCCCCCACATGCACGCGTGCGCGCGCGCGCGCACACACACACACACACACACACACACACACACACACACGGAAAAGAAAAATCCACAAGCTGAAATGGTGGGGACATATATCTTTATTTCTTACTGTCTGAAGCAGCACACTCACAAGACAGAAAACAAGCATGTACAGGGTGACTCATCTGCCTGGACTAAATGCACTGGGAACACGGACATACACAAGCAGAACAATGCCAGCCTGGCATTGGCAGAAGAGACTTTGGCGCTGGGGGCTGTGGGCTTCAGTGCCACTCTATGCTCTGGAGAACCCCCCCTATAATAACAACAATACCACAAAGGCTCTCCACAGCAGGCTCATGTTTACCCTGTTTAAGCTTCTATAACATGTGCAGGGATAAGAGCCAAATATATTTGTACTAGAAGCTGTTTCACACTGGCACATCTGGACGAGTTTACACCTCAGTGCTCAACACAGTTTTTCTCACTTCTTATTTCAATGGAATCAATTGTCTACTTGGGTAAATAAGTTTTTCTAACTTTACCACAGGCTTTGACCTTGTTGGGGTCAACTGTTCTACTGACGGACTTATCATGTAGCTGAAGTCAGGGAAGAGACAAAGAAGGAAAAACCACAAAGGATGAGTTTCCCTGTTACATTCAACTTGGCCTTATGGTAATGGTGTTGTTATTCTGGATATAAAGACATAAATAATGCTGTGTAATAATTTAAAAACAAATATTCAGAATAAAATAAATATTAAACAATTTATATCTATAAATTACTTACATGCTTAAAGGTGAACTGCTTTTAAAAATGGAAATAAATTTGGCATACTATTGCTAGTCCACCCAAAATTACTCTTAGTTTAGGTGTGTTGAGTTACACATATAATTCACTCCAAAGCAATGTAAACATTTAGTTCTTAAAAGCAAATTGCTTCTTTTAATGCCTTTGTTACTGGGGCAGTATGGATACACAATATTCAGAAGCTGCTTGCCTTTTACACACAAGTAGCTTCAAAAGCAGATGCTCTGCATTCTGAGCAGGGCACTACACCTACAGCCACATCACAGATACTGTAACACTGGATGAAGCAACAATGTACACACTTTTATTCATGTTTGCTGAGTTTCGTTATTGGTTTTTCCAACAGCAGCAATATAATTTTGATGCAGTTACTAATAGCACAGATACAATACTTTGATCAGTAACACTCACACTTGTTTATAACAATTAAACCCAGAGACCACATTGAATTTTTTTTTACAGCCAAACCTCACTTCAGATTTTCCATAAGGTCAATATAGTAGATACTTCTTTTCTTCCAAAATCTAAAGAGAAACCCATTTGGCTTAGCTTTTCATTTCATTTCTGTTCATCTGGTTGTTTCTTCATTCTTTTCCAACTTTTTACTAGGGAGAAAAGTATACAAAGATAATGGACAAGATCTTCTGGTTACAACTGATGCAGCAAAGAAAGTAAGCAGCCCACCACCAGCCCACCCCCAACAGGAATACTGCATTAATTTAGCTCTTAGAGCCTGCCCCTCAAGTGTACTGCTTACATCTCTGAGCATCACTAGCGACTGTACTGACTGTCCCTGCACTGACAGGCTAACATGAGTGAAAAAGAAAACTGTCTCAAGAGCAGGCATGACAGCTCCAAAGTGAGCAGGGTGCAAGGAGGAGGCAGATCTGAGTGGGTGAAGTTCTTCCGTTCATGGGGAAATATCCTTGTGGAGGATATTTCAGTTTCAGAATTAGAAAGAGACAAAGCATTTTCATTCATCAGGGTTCTTTCAAACTGGACTGTATGTTTTAAACTGTGTGAACCAAATGAGACAACGTGAACTTCATTTTTGTTTGATCATGATAGAGATTGCTAACCATGGATCTGGGCACATTTTGGGGATAAACAAGTTATTAAAAATCAAGAGCTGATATCCAGATGTTGCGTTCTTACAGTCCACTGACAGCAAGTGACGAAGAGTGGGGTCCCTCCTGGACTGCCCAGGGTCACCACTCACGGAGCACTGATGACTTAAACATGCCTGACTTCCCGCTAAACAAGAGGCTGGACACTGGGCTGCAGCCCCAGGACAATGGCATAGGTTAGGTCAGCTCTGCGATCACCTCTGAGGAAAGTGATGGCTGACATACGGTGGCAGGCAAGGGCAGAGGGTAGGGATTCCCACTGGCTCTCCTGGGAGCCCAGGAAGGAAGGCAAACACTTGACTTGTTCAAACCAGGTTTTATCCTAAGTATGAGGTTATATTATTTTTTTCCATATAAGAAAAGTTTACATACAATGTTTGCAAAAATTCTGTTACTGGTTCAGGTTAAATGTAATTACACAGATGAACTCCTGGTACATACAGAAGCTCAGAGACAGTGTCAAGTGAAGCTCATGAACACTACTACAACATGCCAAGACATGGGAACAGGAAGAGTCAGAGAAATCATTTCTGTTACTACATGTAATAGAAGGAGAAAATGTAAAACTCGCCTCCAAGTAAAGACTGCTAAAATGGGAAAGAGTATAGCAGGGCTTCAAATAAATGCAGGGTGCAAGTCACACAGGAGAATAAGGGTCTTAGGGACAAGACAACAAAAGGGACAAAAGAGGAAGAGGTCATGGCGATGGCAGGACATAAAGAAGACAGACAGACAGAAAGGGAAGGGTGACAAAGGGAGGCACAGCTGGAAATCAGTGGGATGGCTTCTGCAGGTGCAGACGATGTAGGGCAAGCTGAAGGAGGCAGGTGGAGACTTCACTGTGAGAAGTAAACATGAGAGAGACCCCAGGGTGGGACCCTGGGAGACGTTTACAAAAAGCAGCAGCAGCAGCAGCAGCGAATGTCTTTAAGGGCAATGGATTATTAAGAGGAAGGGATGGCAAGGCAGTGGGGGCACACGCCTTTAGTCCAGCACTCGGGAGGCAGCGGCGGGTGGATCTGTGTGAGTTCGAGGCCAGCCTCTACAGAGCGAGTTCCAGGACAGGCTCCAAAGCAACAAAGCAATACAGAGAAACCCTGTCTGGAAATACAAAAAGAGGAAGGGATAGTGCAATCGCAAACTGCCTGCCCATGAGCAGGAGACAGGGTTAGGAAGAAAGGAACAGAAGGGAAGCCAAGTGTGCACCCTAGCTGCTCAGAAGAGAGTGGGACACTTGGCTGCTGGCAGACAGAATGGGGACTTCAAAGCTGAGATACAGTGCAGCTTTACTAAACACAGAGAAGAGGTTCCATCCAACCCAAGAGTACAAAGCTGAGCCTGAGCCCACTCCCCTGAGGCATCATCACACAGAGTTTGCACAGCTAACACAGGAAGAGAGAGGCAACCGAAGGCTTGAAAAAGCCACTTCAGACAAAAGCAGAAAGGAAAATTTGTACAGCACGATTATGAAAATGAATATGAAACTGGGCTAAAGTTCGTATAAAACAGTGAAATTCAGCAGGCCTGGCCTAATGTCACAAGAAACTGAACTGTGACATGCTTATATAATAAATTCTCTTTAGAGGAGCACAATCCCTTGAAACAACTTGGAATGTCATAAAGATCTCCCATTGTCCCTGTCCCCAGGAGGGCTCAAACCACCAGCCTTCTCACTGACAGTCAAATCAACAGTACCAGCAAACTGGTCCAGATATTTTAGTCAATACTCTGCTCATAAGATTGGGCTGAACTTTTCCTAGAACATCTACTTGAGGGCATACTCTTTTAACTGAATCTCCCCATTGTCTTCAGAAACCTTCCTACTGTCAGGTCAAAGGACATTTGTATTTTGAGATGTGGTTTCACTAATTTTCCCAGAATGACTTTGAACTCTTGGGCTCAACCGATTCTTCCACCTTGGAGCACCAGTGATCGGGAGGACAAACACACTCCATCACATCTGGCTACAGAAGAATTTTGCAAACCATACACCCCCACATGCCATCTTTTATGGAAATAAAAACAGGCTTACTACCACTGTCATCCATGAACAATGGGTTCACTGTACACAGGGACATGCATTTAAGATGATAATCTACTTCTTTGTATTGTTATAAAAATTTGATTTCCTGAATTTTGAAACTTGCTGTCACTTTGTGATGAAAAACCTCACCTACTTTTTTTTTTTTACTTTTCATTTTATGAATTTGATCACTGATGAAGTAAACACTTCTTGTTTATTGCCAAATATATTTATACTTTTACTAACATTCCCTATACACTCTTCACCAGTTTTCTTACTGATATATTTCTTTTTTTGATGATCTCTTGGAGCTTTCTATATGCTGTAGATACAAATCATGCACGTAAAATTCTTCTCCAGCCCAGCTACTAGTGAAAAACTTTATTGGCCCATATTTTTGTTTGCTAAAAAATATTTCTTTTTATTTAATGGGTATGAGTGTTTTCCATGCATGCATGCATGTATGTATGTACATGTGTATGTATGCATGCCATGTGGACATAGGATAACCTGGAACTGGAGGAACTGGGGTTGTAAGCTATGGTGTGGGTGCAAGTGGGTACCACTTTTTTCATTTCGACATGCATGACCTTAAAGTTTCCATTATGTAAATCCAAACATATGTTTCAAAATGAATCCTATCAGGACACAGGGGCAGGTAGCTATTCTCTAAGATTCTTAGAAGCTAAGGCAGAAGAATTGCTTGAGCCCAAGAGTCTGAGGCCATTCTGGGAAACAGAACTGTCCTTCCCCTAAAAAACAAAAAACAAACAAAACAAAACAACAACAACAAAACAACAAGAACAAATAAAACTCACCACCACCACCACCACCACCACAATAACAAACCAAACAAAAACCCAGAACAAAACAAAAAATGTTTTCTAATTCCAACATCATGCTTATATAAAAGCCATACCAGGATTATTCAAGGTTTTCTGCACAAGTAGATTTACTTATTTTTTTCCAATTGAAAAAGTTTATGGAAACTCTGAATCTATTCTAGAAACTTACAAATGTATGCATGTGGGTGTAGTTAGGGCCGTGACACCAAAACTTTATTTCCACAGACTACTTCTGTCTAGAGAAAACCAGGTTCCCTGACAGGTTTCCTCCTGTTCGGTATGCTTACCCACCCTCTACCATCGCCCCAAGGGGCCTGTTTCAGAAGTAATCATGCGCCACCCACCTGTCCAGTTGCAAACATACATTGGGCTGTTTTCTCTGGACCCCAGGCCTCCTCCCACACCTTTCTAGTGGCTCTCACCTCTCTGTTGCAGAGGTTCTTGCCATGCCCCTATTTAAAGGCCTCCACAGTCTGAGTTTTCTGCGTACAATTTGTTTCTCCATTTACAGCCCAGAACATTGGAGAGAAAGAGAGACTACTGTGGTGGTCTTTTCCTTTCAGGGTAAAGACAGTCTAAGTTATGCTTGCAGGACTGCCCATTAGCGCATCCTCTGAGGCCACCGATAGCCTCTGCAGCCCCTCCCCCTTGTCAGCGCTCACCCCACCAGCTGGGCTCTGTCCGGCATCTGAAGTCTTTTCCTGGTAATGCAATAGCCCTCCCGTTTTCACTCACTTCTAACTTTCTGCTGGTCCTCTCTTACCTCTATCAGGGTGACTTTTCGGGCTGTCGGCTCACTCTTCTTCGCCTGTGTGTCTGCTCTGTATCCTCGGTCCTCCCAGCCCTGCTCTTTGCCCTTCTCAGTCCTGCAGGAAGGAGAGGTTGTAAACGAGAGGCCAGTAAGACAGCTGCTGTAGTGGGTTAGATAAGGCTGGGATCAAGGGAAGGGACAGGGGGATGGACAGGGATGATAAGGGGGGGGGTGAGAAAAACCACTAGCAGAACTACAAGTGTGACTACCCAAAGGAGTAAGACAGACAGTGTTCCATCTCAGCTATGAAGAAGGGACAAGAATGAAACAGACTGCTTCTGAAGAATATTTAGATGCTGAGGGCAAACCAGAAAATGTTATCAACATAGACAGAAAACAACCCTGTACTTTTACAGGGTATCTCTTATTAACAACGGAAAGAATGGAAGAAGTCCTTATGAGGGCTTTAACACACGGAACTGCAGGTCATGGAAAACTCAATGGTAAGAGCAACACATACACCGTTTGCTTCTGCACAGATTATGTTAGAAAAAAGAACATACAAACATGCAAAGAGAGAAACCAGGGAACTAGGAGACTAGTCATTTGTCTAAGTATGTACTGTGAAGGTGGGAATTTCCTAAACAGAGATTTAAAAAGACACAAGAATTTAAAAATCAAGTAATTAGCAGAAATGATAAAGTATGCATGCGTTAAACTGCATGTACTAACTCATGTTCAAGCTCTGGCTCTTAATGTGACTGTGTTTGGAGAAAGGAGGGTGAATATATTCATATAGTTTCATCCAGGACAATACCAGTGTCTTAAAAGAAAGAGACACTAGAATATGCTTACATGTGAAACCATGCACACACACTCTCCAGATGTATGTGTGCTTACATGTGAGACCATGCACACACACTCTCCAGATGTGTGTGTGCTTACATGTGAGACCATTCACATACTCTGCAGATGTGTGTGTGTGCTTACATGTGAGACCATGCATACACACTCTCCAGATGTGTGTGTGTGTGCTTACATGTGAGACCATTCACATACTCTGCAGATGTGTGTATGTGTGCTTACATGTGAGACCATGCACACACACTCTCCAGATGTGTGCAGATAGAGGCCCTGTGAGGCCACAGTGAGAGTTAGCCACATGGAAGTCAGGAAGAGAGGCCATACTTAGAAGATGTAATGTACTCCTAAAGTTTAGTAATAATAGGTGTGGAGATAGAATTCAGTGGGTAATGTGCTTGCTGCCAAGCCTGACAGCCCAAGTTTGATTCCCAGAGTTCACATGTAGAAAGATAGAGCTGACCCCTTCAAGCTATCATCTGATCTCCACACACACCATGTATGCAAGGGGCCCCTCCCAAAAGAAAGGACTAACTGTAGAAAAAAAGTAATAAAAGTCTCTCAAGTATTAGAAAGGTGAAACATTAGTTAGATAATTATTTCACCAAAGAAAGCACAAATATATGTGGACACACACACACACACACACACACACACACACACACACACACGACATCATAAGCCAGAATGGACAAGGATATATAAATTCAAAGCATATGAGATACACTTTGAACTGGAGTGGCTGAAATTACAGCCTGACTATATGAGACTGGGGAAGAAACATACAGGAAAGCCTATAAATGTGATATGATACAGAAAACGTATGAAAAATAATTCCAGCCACCCGATTCTAGCTATTTACCCAATCAACATGAATGCAAATATCTCTATGATGACTTATACAAATACTGGTATTTGTAGTGGGTCCAAACTAGACAACTCAAAGATACAGTAACAGGTAATGAATAAACAAATTGTGGTACTTGGAACTCTGGAAGGAGAGAGAGGTCACTGGTTGTTACAGAAAAGAATTATAAAAAGGATGAGAAATTCTTTAATTGTGGTGGTGGCTCATGAGTGTCTATCTTTCTTAAAAGCTAAAATCATCTGGGTGGAAGGAACCTCAATTAAGAAAATGCTTCCATAATATAGGGCTGTACACAAGTCTGAAGAGTATTATCTTAATTAGTGATTGCTGGGGGAGGGCCCACCCCATTGTGGGTGGTGGCATCACTGGGCTGGTGGTCTTGGGTTCTATAAGAAAGAAGGTTGAACAAGTCCTTATAAGCAAGCAGATAAGCAGCTCCCCTCCAAGGCCTCTACATCAGCTCCAGCCTCCAGTTCCTACTCTGTTTTAGTTCCTATCCTGGCTTCCTTTGATGATGAACAATGATGAGAACATGTAAGCCAAATATACCTTTTGTTTTTGGGCATGGTGATTTTGGTCATGGTGTCTTTGGGCATGGTGCTTTGGGGTATGGTTTCATCACAACTACAGTAACCCTAACTAGGACAAGTACCATCCTCAGGACCATTGTCCATCTTCTTTGAGGCTGCCTTTCATTGACTGGGTGCTCACCAATCAGGCTGGATTGGCTGGCCAGCAAGCCCCATGGAGTTTTGCTCTGCTCCTCACCAGTGTTGGGATTAGTCATGTGCTCCTATGTCTCTCATTTTGACATGGGTTCTGGGGATCAAACTCAGGCTTTGGAAGTAAGTACTTAACTGACTGAGGTTATCACCTCAGCCCCCGTTCTGACCCTTTCTCACTAACTTCATTCTACCATACTTTGTCTAGGTATGGCTAAATCTCTTCTGGATACTTTTAATATGATCGTAACTAGTCTTTTTGGTTTCATCCTTACCTAGTAATATGTATTGTCATCTCACATGTCAGAGTGATGCTGTTCAAATTTGAGTTCTCCCTCTATTTAGTGGCACCCATTTCACTTACTATAAAGCAAGGTCTTGCTCACTACCTAACCCTCATCTTTTCGTGCTCAACAGCCCTTTCTATTCCAGAAATGCTAGCAATTTCCTCACTATTCCTTCAGGATACTGAGGATGCTCTTGCCTACATTCCTGCCCCAAGGCCTTTTGCACTGGTCCCCCACATACACACACTGCTCAATTCCTTTTCTCCTTCCGCTCTTCTCTGTAAGATCTTTTGTGACAATTCAATTTAAAAATACAACAGACCTATTGTAGTGGCTCATGTCTATAAATAGGAAGATCATCCATGAGTTCAAGGCCAGCCTAGGATACAGAAGAAGGCTTGCAAACAAAAACACCAACAATATAAAACAAAATCCAAAACTGCAACAATTATACCTCCCACTTTATCTCCTTCCTATACTTAATCCCCCCCCCCACAGTATAGCACAATCTAACACACACATTTCTCTTAAAGGAAATAAAATGGCAGCTCTCTGAGACAAGGATTTTTACGGGTTTACTCTTGTGTCCCCAGTACCAAGAATGACATCCTAGGTGCCTGACAAATCTATGTTTAGAAACTGATCTGCATTTCGTCTGTGTTCTTTGGCATACTGGGCACACTCATAGGCACGTGCCAGGTGTCCCTGTCGGTGTCTAGCACACACAACATCTACTTCGGAAAACTACCAATCAGCATTTTCTCCATTAGGTTGATGCTCACAGTGAACTACTGACCGTCTCCTGGAATGGCTGCCTTAGCAGTCGAGTCAGAAGAGGACTAGGTCTTGATACAGACAAATGCTTATTCAGGATCATGTAAAACACTAGGGAGCTGTGGCTCCTGATTCCACCTTCCAAACCTCTGCTGCTCCAAACTCTCCAATCCCATTTTCCAGGCATAACGTTAAGCTCTAGTCCTTTTTCCCCATTACAAGTCTCCAATCCCACCACTAGTCTTCTCCCAATCTGCCCATGATAGCTTCATCTCCATGTGGCAACCCATTCTGAAGCACCCACCTCATTCCCTGATGGGACCGCTCTGAAGGCTCAGGTCTGTAAGTTCATCTGAAGCCTGGCTCCTCCTGCAGGCCCTCTAGCTCTTCACACTCTGCCCTGCTTACAGTGACCAACTGTGTTACCTCATTTGCATCTAATTACATAATTTGTTGTTTTCTAAACACTTACTTGCATTTCCCCATGTGATCTGCATATGTTCTTGCTACTTCTCACTTCACTATGCTTAGTGCTAAGTACACTGTGATAATCTCACAGTACACCAGAAGAGTTTGATTTCAGAAATAGAGGCAGGGAGTAAGAAAAAGGGTAAGAACTGGGCAATCAAAGCAACAATCTAAAAGTTAGAAAAAGTAGACCACTTTAGGGGAGAAAGGTGGGCTCTAAACTACACCCTTAAGGAGAATGGAGAAACGAGGAGCTTGGAACAGGGTGTACAGTGCAGGGAGTGGAAAAATACTGTGACTTACGGTGACCACTGTATCATATTTTATGTCATTAACTCATTCAGCTTCTGACTACAAAGGGACTCAATATGTTGGCTATCTGAACCAACCTCTTTGACCAAAGCTTTTAATGAAACAAACCCAACTAATGTTAAAAATATGAAAAACAAGGTCCCAGGAAAAATCAATATAGAACACAGGGAATAGGGAACACAAACACTGCATATTAGTTATTATATTGGGTTTACAGAAACGTCATTATAAATTTGATCAGGGCATTAGGTAATAAATGAAAAACACCATAGGGCATGGAATACAAAGAGTGGAAGTTTATCTTTGAAGAAAATGCTGTGGATAAATTAGAAGTTTCTTCTTATATCTTAAAAAGAGTTTAGATTTAGTGAAATGCATATGAATTGATGATAAAAGTGACCATTTCTCAGAAAGAAGGGGGGGGTTTGAGAAATTGTTCAGCATACAAAGAGCTTCTCTCTCTCATATTAGCACTCATTTCTTAAAAGTAAACAATAAAATGACATGTTAGGGTAGAGATGAATAACTGTTGAGAGAAAACTACCTTTGATCAAAATAGAATCTTCTGCTGGATACAGACCCAATCTCCAGTTGTCCTAGGCCCGACATTTGGCCTAGGGACCACACTTAGGAGGCCCCACTTAAGCCCCACTAGAGACAGGTGGAAGGTGGAACAGAAGTCCTTGAACCCTCTCCCTTCGCGGAACCCCACCCCCTACATAGTGAACTCCAGGCTTTAGCTCCGCAGTTGTGTAAGACTGTCGGGTTTTCTGAAGGAAAGTGTAAAATCTCCTTTTCTTCTTTTTAATCTATTTTTGAAGCACATTTCCCCAACACGTTAGGCTTCCTTGTTCTTTCCCCTCCACGTGGCTGCTTATCTACTGTGTCTGCTGAACCTCCCTCTGGCTTAAGTGATGGCTTCCTCTCCTGTTCCCTCCTTACAGCACCTGAGGTCTACAGTGAGCTGCACTGGGGGTCTCTTTCAAACTCATGACACTGTGCTTGACTTCCGCTTCAATTCATTCTTAAAATCTTTTATTAATGAGACTAACGACCCCAAGAAGGGATCCTGATTTCTCCTGTATCTTTCGGAGATCATGAAGAGATCCTCAAATTCTAGTAACAACATCTTCCTGTGGAACCTGTGGCAGAGAATCTAGTCGAGAAAGAGACAGGCCTATTGATGAGGGGTTGGAGACTGAGGTCTCAGTTTAGTAGTGACAGGGATGCCCTGTGACATTAGCACCACGCTTTCCCCCCTTGGATTTGTCAGCTATTAAAATAGAGGGGATGTGGAAAGAATTATAAGGTATCTTCCAGATTATGAGTCTATGACTCTTTTTTAAAGTCTACTTAAAAATGACACATCTCTCAACTGTGGAGTAAAATATTGTCTTGCAGCACACTGCGTGGTTTTATTTGGCAATTCCAGTCATCTGAATCAGGATATGAATTATTCCTCAAACTGTGAACACATGTAGCACATCTTGACATCCAATGTATCTGAAGGAGGCCCAGTGGGGATGGATGTCTGTGTGCACGTGTGTAGGGCACAGGAGGTGCCAGCAGATACCTTGCTGGTCATGGACACTGTACCTAAGGCTTTGCTGACACACAGAGCACATTCACCCTGATGACATCCTGGGAACTGGCTGCTTTCCCTTTAAAGCCCCGGAGGAGATATTTCATAATTTAGTTTTGCCTAACCATTCAGTTGTATTCACTTAATGTTATCTAAAAAAAAAAAAAAAAAAAAAAAAACACTCAAACAAAGTAAATGAAAAATAAAAGTAAGCCTTCTGCTGTTTAATGTGTTGCTATTTTATATAGCATCACTCTCTAGCTCCTAACACATTCTTAGGGCCTTCTAAAAACTTGAAATTTAGCGTGTAGTGCTCTCATTGTGTTATGAAAAAGGGATACGGACGGATGGTCCTACAACAACGGCAACGACAACAACAACCCAGTGCTATTTCTCACTGCAAACTGTCTGAGCGCTCTGAGAAGCACTTACCGTGCCATGAACTGTGAGCCCAGTCTGGAATCCGGGGACCTGTCCTTGTGGAGAGCAGGCTGTGAAGGAGGAGACAAAAGCATGGTCAGCATCCACCCGCTGGGTCCCTAGACAGAACATGGGTGTCTATCCCAGCACCACGCCCACTCCTACAGAAAACCAAGAGCTAGTCTACCACAGTTTAAACTTTTTTTATAACAAGGTTAGTTTTCAGATGCAGGACTAAAAAAACCCCCCAAAACCAAAAAAAAAAAAAAAAAACCCAAACAAACAAAATCGTCATCAACAACAACGAAACCCACAAAGAAAAACAAAAGGGAGAGGCTGTTTGTTAGCTTAAGTTAACTTACTACTGTGGTATGTTACTTAAGCTGCACACTTATCTTTCATCACTGCGTCCTTTCTTTCTATTTTTCTCAGCGTACCCATATTTTTATAATGAGGCTCAACTGAACCAAATGCAAAGATTCTGAATTTGAACACTCCAAATCTTTTACAATTTTCTTTAGTCAATCTTACTTTATTAATGGCACCCTTGAGAAAAAGACTGAATGCACACTTAAATTCGGAGTGTTAGATACTTCTTCCTCTAGAATTCGAAGCATTAGCTCCAACCCAAAGTAGACTGAGGACTTTACCAGTCAGTCCAGTCAGTGCGGCCACAAACAGACTGAAAGCGGTTTTTAGGGATAATTAGATGTCAGAAGAGGCATCTGACATTCAAAATAAGACAATGAATCGCCGAAGTACGGATAGATGAAAGATATCCACACCATCATTTAAATGAAAGCCATTCAGGAAACAAACACAAAATCGGAATGAGAGAAAGGAATCCAGCTTTTCTTTCACCCTTGTTTGTGTACTCCTGCCTTCCCAGTCCTCCCTCTGCTCTGCTGCAGCCCCCTCTGCATCTCCCCTCTCCCTCCTCCCCTCCCTCCCTCTAGGCAGATCTCTGCAGCACAGTGCCTTGGCACCAAGTGCCCTTCAAAAGGCATTGCTGTGCGCATTATAACATTACAAAGACTATGGCTCTGTGTTTACTACCGGGTGGTTTTAAATCCAACATTTAAGATGAGAGTTAAAGAATGACGAGATGGGGGAAAGGTGGGTGCTGGAGGGAGCAACCCCAACAACACAGCAACTAATGGCATCTTGATTTTTCTTCACCGCTAAAATTGACAAGGCTCAGTTAAAATGCACTGAGAAAAAATATATATATTCATGGACAATTTCACATTCAAAGTCTGGTCCAGATTCCCAAAAGCTCTACCTGCTCTCACCCAATAGCACACACAGCAAGCAACGAAAAGCATCAAAACTAAACTCAGAGTGCATTAATCTGCCCAGAACTTCCCCTGCCTCTTCATGAGCATGGAAGTTCCAAACACATTAATCCAATTACATGGAAAGTTTAAAAATTTACAGTTCTTTACAAGGTCTGGTCTAAGCATTATTTCCACCTGTTTGTCTAACAGAAGCCAGCCTTCCCCCCCACAAAAAAGTGTATGTTTATGAAACGTGGTCAAATGAGTGGCATTAATAAGAGGGACAAACAAAGAGCTCTCATCAGGAATTCTCACCCATCTGCACCTATTCTGGAGCAGAGGAGAGAAATGAAGCTAAAGCTAAGGGTCCTTTAAGTCAGCGCTGCCCTGTGTGGGGTCTTAGTCACGTGCTGGGATACACTGAAACGAGCGAGGGACAGAGTGATCAGAATGCTCTCTCTCTCTCTCTTTCTCTCTGTGTAAGTCAAAAACAAACTTAATAAAAGATAAAGACAGATGGAATACTGTCCATGCAGTGTTTCCATTGTGTTCTTACCACTGCCATACCTGATGCATTTTTATGATGTAAAGTGGCGTCGCCTATGTTGAAATCCTATAAATCTTAACTTAGTAGGGAGCCCATATTTCGATGTTTTTATACTTGTTTTAAAGGGCACTTAGGACTAACACTTCACTCTATACCCTTTACTCACTCATTCCTTGGTCTCAGCAGCAGTGACTCATGGAGGCAGTAGGGGGAGAAGGAGTTTCTGTGAGCTGTTTTGTTTTATCTTAAAACAGAAGACCCCAAGGCTGGAAGCAATCACCCCCCCCCCCCATCAACAAGGCCAAGGAGCATGGCTGCCCCTCTTCCCTCCTTTCCACACACACCTCTCAGTTGTTTTGTGACTCCGTTTCCTCTTCATGGGCACCCTTGATTAGGAGAGGAGGGATGAAGAGAGGAAGATGAGCAAAGCGAGGATGAGGAATGGGAGGACCACAATCTAGAGACTCCTGCTTCCCAAGCCCTCAGCTTCTTTGGGGTGATTTTCAATTTAGAACGCAATGAGGCTTAAACGTGAAAGGAATGATAAATGGAGTGATTTAAAATGACAACACTGATCATGTGGAGATTTACCCAGAAGTAAACAATGTACAAACAGCTTTAGAAAAGAAAAACGGGCCATGCAAACAACTCACCGGAACCGATACTTGTAAAAACTTGAAGAATGAACGGGAAATCATACGAACGTTCAATCAATGTGTGTTGTAGCTGGCACACCAGCATCAGATAAGGCAGATGTATGAGACAGTCCAGCTTTATTTTACATGCTGTTATGCACCCACCGATAAATTTACATTTCCAAATGTGTCCTCTCTACTTTGTGGGAATTGTATCTTTTTCTTTTGAACATAGATATAAGAGAGGAAGGTTGCCAATGTTGCCAATGAGGGTTTGGTGGTTTAATTCTAGTCTTGGTTAACAAACCTTGTGTGTCCCTAGTAAGCCACTTCACCTCTCCTGGGATTTCTGTTAACTGGAGAAGGAAGAGGGGCCCAGAGTACAAGCACAAGCTCTCATAGCCCAACACCACACCCTTACTTCTGCAGACGAGGGGATGGGGGCCAGAGTCACCAAGGATGCAGAGTGGCTACAGGTTACACAAAGCTTTCTAACACCGAGTTAACAGTAAAACTAATTTTCAGTCCCACTGTTTGAAGCCTCAAGTGCAAGCATACAGAAGTAGAATCCTTGAGTCCTTCTGGGTAAAAGCTAGGTTTCTATGGCCTAGCACACTCTGCCACTGGTAGACTCCAGTCTAGGTCACAGCCCTCCAACTAAAAGTAGGGACTATACTATGCACCTCCACTAAGCAGCCTTAGTGCTGACCCTACAGCATACATAGTTTGCACCGCGTTTGCCAGTATGCCAGAGTGCCAGCAAAGTCTGCCTGAACACACTGGGACCTGAAGGGATTGTGCTATGAACATCAGTGTTTTTACTGTATACACAGTTTTCTGCACCTATAAAACCAAAACAATTTCATTATGGAATGAAAAGAAACAAACACAGCATTTTCTTGGTGTCGTTTTTAAACATGTGACAAATACATATATCTTTGGATTGTTCTGTTAAAATGTTGGATTTTAAAAGTTGCTGCTTGAGTTTTAACTTTTTTTTTAAAAGGTAAATGAAGTTTGTTTGGGTTAGGACAAACTTTCCCAACTGTGCCTGCAATGGCTTCAATGGTTTTTTTGACATGGTATATGAAGTGTTCACGCACAGCCCGGGTGAGAGAGGATATATTCTAAAAGAGAGAAGTTATCAAACCATTGCCCCCTTTTATTACAAAATCAGAATGTCTAACAAGTATGTAGGAGTCAAGTTTGAAGTCAACATCCATACAAAGAGATACACACTCTGTGTTTACCAAACAGACCTAAGGATAAGGAACTCTGCCAGGCCAGGAGTGCCTTGCAACCTCTTTTCTACTCGTTTTTCTAAAACAAAACAGAAGGAACAAAAACAAACAACAGAAACCAGGGCATCTTTAAGAGAGTTCTTCTGTCTGTGGACCTGAATCAAAAGTTCTAAACCACAACAGGGACAATGGAGGTAACCTGGGCTAACTTGTCTCACAGCTACATTTACATACATTCTGGTCTTTGTTTCTTGGCTCTCTATATATTGTGAGATAGCCACAGGCACAGCAGAGAGGAATTTAGATGTCCTTTTGCTTTCTGCTTTGGCTAACATTAAATAAATTAAATTTTCTTTACCAGTTTCTGTTTGCTGATTTCTTTGGACTACAGGGAAACTGAGGCAGCACATTTACAGATCTAAGTACTTGGAACACAGATGGCTCTTTCCAGTCTCATCACAGATCCTAGAGTGAACTGTTTGTTGGTAGCATTTGTTATAGTTAAGGTACAAAATGCTTTCCATCAGTGGATTAATATCCCGATCGATGCAACATTTAATAGCATTACTGGGATGTGTGTGGCAGGCCCTGGTGGAGGAACAGGTCTCTGGGGACACTCCCTGGAAGGGTGTATCCTGATTTTAGTTCTTTTCTGTTCCCCCTTTGCTTCCATGGCTGCCAAGAGGTGTGCGGGTCTGACCTGTCATGACTTCGCTGCCGGAATGCTTTACTTCACCACAGGCCTGAAAACAATGGAATCAGCAGACTGCTGGCTAACGGACACTGTGAACCACAATAAACTTCCTTTCTTTTAAACAGTTTCTGTGAGGAATTTTTGCATAGCAACAGTCCCTAACTCACCATAAGTTTGGGGACATAAATCCATGATCAAAGGCTAAGTACCTCTTCTACTACTCAAGCTCTTATCTCTATCTTCCAATGAAATTTCTTTCTTTTCTCTGGTGTTGGGGACCAAACCCAGAGCTTCAAGCTAAGCAATGTTTTCCGACTGAGCTACACCCCCAAACAAAGGATAAGCTTTTGAAATACAATTTGATCACATCACCTCCCTGCTTTCCATAGTTTGATGGCTCATAGCAGATAAATACAAACTCCTTAATGTGTCATATGAAGGCTTCCAAGATCCTGTTTATTTATTTGGGGTTCAGTCTTTTCTCTTTTAACTCGAGCTCCAAACCTCGATGTTACACTGGGCATTTCTGATGTCCCTAAGGTATTCCCCCATGAATAACTCCCAGTTTTCACAAATGGTCCGCACTTCCCAGTCACTATCCTTTATTGCTTATGTTTAATTGTGTGACTATATGACTAATGCCACTTGCATCCTTTAGGCTATAATGCAGCGATTAT